GCAGTGGCGGAGCTAGGATTCTTAGTATGGAGGGGCCAAAATTTCAAAATCACTTCTACTAGGTTTCTAATCTTCATCTGGGAGGGCCATCACTAATCTAATTGCAGTTTTTGTATTACTATATCATATATTTTATAATATATTACAAGAGATTAATAATTAAGTGGGGGGGCCAGGGCCATGGCAGGCCTGGCTGTAGCTCCGCCACTGTGTATATGTATGGAGAGCGTACGTAGTTTTGAGTGTATAAGTGGCTATCTACTAAGTACTCATTAGAAAATAAATATAACTATATATAATATGTACCTTTGAGTTCATACATCACAACCTAAGGTCATTTCCAGTCATGGGCTAAAAAATAAATTTGGCCAAATTTGGAGGGCCACATTTGGCCCTTTAGCCTTCTAAGGCCATCTCCAACCATGAGCTATATCCCAAATATAACCCTAAAATAATGCAAAACTCATCTCCAGCCATGGGCTAAACAAAATTTTGGCCAAATTTGGAGGGCCACATTTGGCCCTTTAGCCCAACTTTGGCCTATGCCAAATTTGTAGTGGGGCCCATCCATGTGCTTTTCAACATCCAACATTGATATATATATATATATATATATATATTTTAAATGCCTTTTGAAATTTTCAATTTGTAGTTTTTAAGAAAAAAGTATAAAAAATTATTGGCAATGACGTTGGAGGTCAGACCTACCCACTCCTTTTTTTTTTAATTTTTAAATAACAAATGTGGTCAACTTTTCAAATATTTTCAAGTGTTGTTTAAAAACAAAGAAAAATTAGGTATTAGACATAAAAATCTTGACTAATAAGGATGTGATACCTAGAGTATTTCTGTTTTGGTTTTGATACATAGGAATTAAATTTTGGTTTGGATTTGGCCAAAAAGGAGGCCTATATTTGTTGGGTCTGTCTAAATTATAAAGGTAAAATACAATTTTATCCTTTTTGTCTAAAAGCCTTCCAAAATCAAATCCCACCCTTTCTTTCTCTCTCTCTTGGACAGACGTAGATAGCGACTGTCTCAGATCATGGCTTCTCAGGCAATTGATAAACTATATTGTGTTTTAAAACTAAAGCTCCCTAGTAACTAATTAACCAATAAGGCCTTTTTTTTATTTTTAGGATGGTTTCTATAATGAGGAGCTATTTATAGGGGTTACAGTGAGGGGGTCTAATCCAGCAGTCCAATAATAACTCTGCACTAAATCAGTCGGCTATTAAGAAACTATTCATTATAATTCCTTACTTTTACTCCTCATTATAGTTTTATTTTTATTTGAGTTCATTGAATTTGGGCTTGAATCCGGTTTTCAACAACTGAAGCCCATTAAAAGCCCACATTAAGAGTTAGCTGGGACCTCAAACCAGCAAAGCAAACGGCAAAATCCCAGCAACGAGAACCAACCGACATAATACAAAACTTGAGGCATCCGGCCGGAGAGAGACTCCACCAACACACCAAATCAAAAACATATCCCCCACAATATCCGAAACTGAACCACACGCGCCCTCTAATCACCTGTGGAATCTCTCCAAATATTCGCAAAACCCAACTCCCCGCCACATAATCCCCCATAAGCTCCACCCTCACGTGAACCCCACGCTCGCTCTCCCTAGTATACTCGCCTTTCCATTGGTCCGTAAGACGTCACTCCCTAACATGGCGCGTGAGTCAATCACCCCCTCACCCGTGCTATGAAACTTCCCGGGCACGACTCTTTTGGTGCACCCACACGCTTCGTCCACTTCACCGCTCCCTCACGAACCCCTCCCTCGCCGTACACCTGTAAGATAAGGATACAGAGAGAGAGAAGAGAGAGAAACTTGGTGAGAGAGAGACTGTGAAGCGTTTTAGAGAGAGAAACTAGAGAGAGAAGGAGCGAGATCTGGTCGAAGAGAAAGGCAAACGAAGCTCGAAAAGCTCAAAAAGCTCGAAGCTTCCCCCTACTGTTGGTTGTTGGTGTTGTTGATGTTGTAAGCCCTAACTTTCTCTCTCTGTTTTGTTGTCTTTTGGTGGGAAACCCTAATTTGATTTTTGTGTCTGTATGTGGGTGTGTGAGATTTGGGGGAAATACTAGGGTTTTGTCAAATTTTTTTTTTTGTTCTCTTTTGTGGAGAGAGGGAAAGCGGAAAAAAAACCTGGGAATCTTGGATCTTTGCGAGAGGGGAAAAAGTGGGGGTTAGGGTTTTGGGAGGTACATGTATGGCTTCGGAGCCTATAGTAGGAGAAGGTGATGGAGCCAGAGAGAAGCAGAGGTACACGGAGAGCAAGGTCTATACTCGAAAGGCTTTCAAAGGCCCCAAGAAGAAGAGCATCGACAACAACACCACCAAACCCACAGAGGCCAACCCAACAGCCACAACCGCCACCGCCACAACCACTACCGCCGTAACCGCCCCCTCCGTCACCACAACCACCACCGCCGACGACGACAATAACATCAACAAGAACGACAACCACCACGACGAGAAAGACAACAACATCAACCAGAACGACAACAAGAAGAGCGACAAGCAGGATAACAACAAGAAGAATGATGAGAATGAGAATTCATCCCAGCCTCCTCCTCCTCAGACTATTGCGTCTGAGGAGGGGAATTCCGCTCAGCAGCAGCAGCTCCTTCCGCCGCCTGATGCTGCTGCCTCTGGCGATTCCTCCAGCCTGAACCGGCAAGAGGTGGCTGTGGCAGTGGTGGAACCTGAAAGTCGGGATCCACCTGTGGAAAATGGGCTGGCGAAGGAGGGGCCGGAGAACCGAATGAAGATTAATTTGGCTTCAAGGTCGAAGCAGGAGATGCGTGAGCTTCGGAGGAAGCTTGAGAGTGAGCTTGATATGGTGCGGAGTTTGGTGAAGAGGATTGAGGCCAAACAGGGGCAGATTGGTGGGTTTAATCACTCCCTTGTAACGAATGAGGGGGTCAATAATAGTGGTGCAGTGCTGAGACGGGTTCACTCTGAGGTTGCTTCGGTTGGTGTTCCCCGTGAAGTTACCAGGCCTTTGCATCAGCTGAGTATATCAGTGTTGGAGAATAGTCAGGGAATGAGTGATATTGTGGAGAAAGAGAAGAGAACCCCCAAGGCGAACCAGTTCTATCATAATTCTGAGTTTTTGCTGGCTAAGGATAAGTTTCCGCCTGCTGAGAGTAATAAGAAGACGAAATTGAATGGGAAGAAGCATGGTGGAGGAGATTTAGGGCAAGGGTATGGCATGGGAAGCAAATTTTTCAAGAGTTGCAGTTCTTTGCTTGAAAAATTGATGAAACACAAGCATGGTTGGGTGTTTAATGAACCTGTTGATGCTGCCAAGCTTGGTTTGCACGATTATCATATCATTATCAAGCACCCAATGGACTTGGGTACCATTAAGTCGAGGCTGAACAAGAATTGGTACAAATCTCCGAAAGAATTTGCAGAGGATGTGAGACTTACATTTCACAATGCCATGACTTATAACCCACAAGGGCAGGATGTTCATGTTATGGCAGAGCAGCTATCCAGGATATTTGAGGACAGGTGGGCTATCATAGAGTCAGATTATAATCGTGAGATGAGATTTGGATATGATTATGGGGCTAGTCTTCCTACACCTACATCAAGAAAGGCACCTCCACTGCCACCACCTCCTCTTGACATGCGAAGGGTTTTGGACAGGTCTGAGTCTATCTCTCATCATGTTGATCCCAAGCCAAAGCCCATGACTATTACTCCTAGAACCCCCGCTCCAAAGAAGCCCAAGGCTAAAGATCCTCATAAAAGGGACATGACTTATGAGGAAAAACAAAAGCTTAGCACAAGCCTCCAGAGTCTACCTTCAGAGAAGCTGGATTCCATTGTACAGATTATTAAGAGGAGGAATTCTGAGCTATTCCAGCATGATGATGAAATTGAAGTGGACATTGATAGCGTTGATGTTGAGACCCTGTGGGAGCTTGATAGGTTTGTAACCAACTACAAGAAGAGTTTGAGCAAACACAAGCGGAAAGCTGAAATGGCTATGCAAGCCAGAGCAGAAACTGAGCAGAATGTCCAGCAGCAGGTAATGCTTTGACTCATACCTTATGCCATCTGGCTTTTTGGTGGCTTTTGTTGGTAAATTTTTTCTTCTTTGTTTCTTTACAGACCCAGGACCCCATTGTGGCAGAGGTGCCCAAAGAAACCAAAACAGGTTAGGTATTTCAGAATGTGAGATTTGATGGCATTGAAATCAGTGATTTCCTGGAGAAACTGATAAGTTGAAACTCGTTCTTTATGTGAGCAGATGAAAAGATTATTTCTTCTTCAACACCCATTCAAGGGGACAACCAGGGTGATAATAGGAGTAGGTCAAGTAGTTCAAGCAGCTCTAGCAGTGATTCTGGATCTTCCTCAAGTGGTACTGTGACACATATCTTTGTTTGTGGATAATGAATTTTTTCACAGATTGTTGGGCATACAGTAATTCAATTATGCAATATCTTGTTTAGTCGGGCATTTTCTTTTTCTTACATATGTGTTTCTGCAGACTCAGATAGTGATAGTTCGTCAGCATCTGGATCAGATGCGGGGTCGCCGAGGACTTAACGATTTAATTTTGAGGTAAGATCCGTCAACATGATTTTGTCCCCTGCCAACTTGATCTTGTTCCAAACATTTTGTAGTTTTTGTGCTTCTATAGTGTTAAGTTGGGATTATATCATACTTGAATTAAATAAACTGCAAGTGAAATGCGGTAGCACCCTAATAATTTTAAATTGTCCGCCTTGGAGACACATGTCGATGTTCTTACATTACTTATGAGCCAAACTATTTTATAAAGGTTGTGGCATGATTCATCTAGTAGATGTGATGTCATGAGAGTTATCGGTAAACCACTATAATTGTTTATTTGACAAACCTTGGCAAGTTTGTTACTCCTTATTATTGATTATGGTGAAGAGCTTTGAATGGTGGAAAATTTGTTGTAAAAATACTGTAGATACTGCAGAAAATGAAACTTATGCAGTGGGTTGTGTATTATTTTCTTGTTATTATATGAGGCTGTTGGTTGGGGTTATAGTTGTGATGTTATGCTGGTTTCTTTATAGGTATATTTGGAGGTTATTTGGTCACATAATGCTTTACATAGACTGTTTCATTTTAGCCTTCTGTACCCGTTGGCAAAACATGATAATATGGATAATGGTTTGGTTGTTTAGACTTCAAGAGTGTGGATAGTTATAGGAAAACTGGTGAATCCGACACTTGGACTCAGCACCCGCATCTGGTAACCATAACCCATGTAACACAGGCTACAATTTCTCCATCTTGGTGGCGCATGCCAAGCCTGCTGTATCAAGGTAGCCGTAGCTTCTTAAGATAGCAAGCCCTTTTTATTTTTACCACTGACTATTAATTTTTGTACAACCTATCAAATCTGGTGTTAATGTTCATTTCATATAATTACCAGTCTTGGCAAAGTTGTCATCCATCCATTCCCCTGCTTTTTTATTATCCTCTCTCCCCCTTCCTCTTCTTCTCTAAGAATCTCAAGGGATTTATCATAACAGTCCTTGTCCCTGGAAAAGTACGGATATTACTCAGCAATAATGTTTTAGGTACTTAATTTATTTTTTGGGGCTGATTCTTCCCTTTTCAAATGGGAAAAAAAATTATCTGGCCAGTGAGAACGTTTCCATTGGAATTTGGTGCAATACGATTCAAAGTTGACTGGAATTATTGAACAATTTTCCCTTGCATTATGAAAATCCCTTGGTTGTTTTGTCTATCCTATTCCATTATTGGGGCTGGATATGTTGATTGTAGAGTGGCCTGACCAATGCGTCAGCCACCAAAGTATGCTGGTTAGTCCTGTTTTCCTGTTAGGGAAGGATTATTTTAAGTGAGTAAGAATGAAAAGCCTAGTGGATGTTTTTTTCAAATTATTTCTGTTGTTGGATTATGGAATTGCAGTGATTTGTTTCTCACTGGAGACTTGCTTTCTTGTTTTCTGTTTTCCTGTCTTTGTATAGTGCATGTGTACTCGGTTCAGGCCAGTTTAATCTATCATTTTTTTGTTCATTTTTGTTGATTCTTTCTTTGCAAGAATTTCAAAGCAAATCATGTAAGAAAATAACCTGTCTTTCTCGTGTGAGGGTGTTTGGATTTGGTCAGTTAAGTGAGCAAGTCAGAGTTAATGACCATTATGTTGTTGGCCTTTGATAATTTGGTCACATCTAATCTTTAGTATACTGGCATGTTGCTTAGATTTCTTACATTACGGGCCATGTGTATACCTTACTTGGCCTTATGTCTTAGACAATAAAATAAAGGCCATCTTCAAACCGTACTTTTTCTGACGCAAATTTTGGCTTTATTTGTAGCTTTGGGCGTATTTCTAGTTTTAGTGCACATATATACTTCAAGCAAATTTTTTATATCTGGAATTAGTTGAAAGGAGTGCTATCCTGCTTTTTGCTCAGGCGTTGATGGAGGGCTGGGAACACAATTACATTGTTGAGGTGCAGAGAATAGAACTTGAAGATGTGGTATCTTTCAGGTGGAATACAAGTCAGTTTTGTTCCAATACGATCAGGGATCTGATTAGTAAATTATTAGTAGATTTTCTGCATGCAACACCACTAAGATGTTTCTGTTAGGTTTATTTATGCTGGAAAATTATTGGACTATTTGATTCAGAACTTACAAAGCCAAAATAGGGCATTTTGGCCATCCATAAAGGCACACCATGTAGAGTAGTATAAAAGCACTGGTTTTGACTTATGTTCGCCTGCTTTGGTCCGTAAGATGAGTTTCATTCTCAGTCAGTTTGGTTCTGCTTTTTCTTCTTATGTAAGGATCAGCTTGGTGTAAATCAAATCCTAAATCCGACCAGTGTACCATGCTGTGTAGCCAGTGAAAATAGTGCATAACAAAATTTCCTGAAACAGCTAGAAGGATATCTCTAGAAATAGCTGAGAGCGATAGCTTAGAGCAAGGAAAAATGCTCTGTCAATGTTAAAATCCTAGTGTGGTTTGAAGTTGTGGTGATGCAGTTTTTTATGAATGTATGATATCGGTGTGTGTAACTGAATTTGTTTACCTTATAACCTGGTTACTCTCTTTTCTTTCTTTTCTTTCATTATTAGTGGGTTCCCTCCTTTCATACCAAATGTTGGAGCACAAATGATTGCTATGAGTAAATTTCAATTTTCGAACAGAATAATTCCCATGTTAAAGGGTCGCTAAATAAATGTGTTTCCCCCCTTGCCTCTCGGGGTATGCTATGCCATAATGAGTCTTTGGATTTGGAATGATTTAATGACAGTAATTATGTAATTGACTGGTTCCTTTTTTTTACCAGAGATGATCTGCAAATGCTTACGATTTTCTTAAATGGCAGATGTCTGAAAATTAGGGTAGAAGGTGATTTTGCTGCATGGTGATTGGAAGCTTTTCAGACGATGGATTTGAATCTACAATTGGTGTATAGTGGAAATTTTCTCCATGGGCTCCAACCATCCTGCAAGTATAGAATGGGGTTGTCACTTTTGGGTTAATTGGTTCCTCAATGCCTGCAAGCGGCCCCTATTGGTCTGGTCAGAATCAGAATTTGTATAATATTGGTAGAATGTGGTGATAATTAGTTTCTCATAGCACGTGTACATTTTGCTAAGTACTGCTACCCGTCTAAATTCCGGTGACTTGGTTTCGGTTTCGTGCTGACAGATTCAGGATGCTTTGGTTTTACACAATAGATAGATAGTCTGTAATCCAAGTTGATTGAGTCAAATTGCTCCATATGAATTTTCTTGTGTTTTCATGAAATGGATATGTTGGTAGATTTGTATGCACTAGTAGTAGTCTCAATCTCAACAAGATCAGCTTAATTGTACTCTGAATTGCCGGAGACGAAACTCGATTTTATGCTCTGTTTTGGTTGGAAAAAAATCAAAAGATTTGAAAGAATTGTTCTTGGTTATGCAGCTATATAGAAGAGCTCACGAAAGTATGCATGGATTGTGAGGCTGGCTTAAACCTCCGTACAAGCGTTTACTGTGTCAGGGTTAGCAGGTTTTATTTTTAAGTACACTTTCTTTAAACTGTTTCAACAGCCAAAATAAAATATCAGTTTAAATAAAGGTCTTTTGGGTCAATGAAATAGAGGTCATTCGGAGTATTGTCCAAATATCACGGATAAGGCGGGGGAAGGGGTTGGGGTTCGTTATTTATTTATTTTTATTTTTTTTCTGAAAGTTTTTAGAATTACACCACCACCACCACCCCCACCACAAAAAAGTTATCCCCTCGACCTTGATTTTGTGTTCCACTTTATCTTCAACCGTTATCTTCATTAATAACTGTTAGTTTTGATGACGTGGCAGTGCTATTTTAGTCTTTTTATCACAAGTGATGATGTATCATGTGAATAACTTACTTTTTTTTTGTTTAATAAATATAAAATAATGTAATTACTTGTATAATTAAAAATATATATAGAAAAAGTAATAAATAAAAATCTTTCTTTTCTATGCTTTAAAAATAAAATAAAATATTTTTAAAAAACCGCATCCAGATCAAGATTGTAGTAAATTAACAAAACAAATGAAAAACAAAAGAACAGAAAATTAAAAAAAACAAAACAACAAAACAATAAAATAAAATAAAATAAAAACATTAAGAAAGCAGTGCACCCTAGAGGCTTCAAATGGGACGGGCCGACCCAACACGGCACGAGCCCAACCTATGTAAATGAGGCACGGCACGGCATGAGCACGAATATTAATGGGCCGTACTCGGCACGGCACGAAAACTTGGGCCGAGCCGGGATCACAAAATGAGGTCCAATGGACTGAGCCGGCCCATGGCCGACATGGGCCGGGCTTGGCCCGAGCACGAGCCCAAGTACGAGCCCAAGCACGGCCCACTTAACTTTTTTTTTCTTTCTCAAAAGTCAAAATGCAATAATTTGACATCTAATGTCATTATTTATATATTTTTTTAATCATAAATATATATTTGATGTCTTTCATTTTAGGGAAATTACTTGAGTCCTTAATTAATTAAACATATCAACTACAAATTAATTAAACAACATTGGACTTGATATCTAATAAGTACATATGACATTTATGCTTCTATTTATAATCAAAGCAAGACATTATTTCACATATAAAATAATAAGTTGTTTAAGAGAGGAGAAAGGAGAAAGGATGAGGCCATTTTTGGGGAGGGATCTTTGGCAAGAATTGGATCTAGGTAGGGTTTATATATATATATTTTTTTTTTTAACAATAGAGAAGCAATATTTTTATTTATAGTAAACTACAGTAAACTCCCCAATCTATAAGGTCATTTACGAGTTCATACCCGATTTTGGGGATATTTATAAGTACATACTCAACGTCGCGGAAAACCTATAATTTATCTCCTCTGTTAGCCCAACTGTTAGTGAGTTTGTTAAATGCTGATGTGTCAAAAGTGAGGACCCATTTTTTTGATGACTTTGACTTCCATGTGGACAAAAAATAATAATAAAAAATTATGTACATGTTAAAAATAATTTTTAAATCATTAAAAATGAATTTTTTTTTAAAAAAAAAAATCTCATCTCTCTTCTCTAACCCAGCCAACATTCAGCTCAGTCAAGCTCACAACAATGGCGGCAACAACAACCCATCACTATTTCTGATGCCCTCATATTTGCAAACCCAGATTTGGAACCCATCACCATTTCATCTGCTAAATATAACACAATTCACATAACCAAAACCCATAAAATTTAAAGATCGAATTTTTAAGGAAAAAATTGATCTGATAATCCTTAATCTCCAGAAAAAATAAAAACAAATCTCCTCTCTCTTCTCCTACCCAGCAAATCCTCTCTCCCTCCCGACTAAACCCCACCTCCTGGCCACCTCTCTCCCGTCGCCCACCCCTAAACCCAACTCTCTTTCTCTCTCCTTCTCCCTCCTAACCCACCCCAACTTCTCCAGCATAGGCCCAAGCCGCCAGCCATTATCAAACCTAAACCCCCGCCATCCTTCTCTCCTCCCCCCTCCCCTCTCCCCCCAAAAAAAATCAGATCAACTGGAGACTAGGGATTTGAGCTGGACGAAGGTTAGGGTTTCGACTATGTCGACGAGGGCGAGGGCGAGAGCTTTTTTAAGAAGTAGAAACCAATTGCTGGCGATCTTATCCTTTTGCTTCTTCGTTGCTAGCCTGACGTTGGTTGCTTCTCTGCTCCAGTCAAATAAAACCATCCAAGGAAGATGGACAAGATCACGAAATTTAATTTCCCAAAAAATTCAGAATCAAAATATTAAATCCTAATTTAATTTGAAGTCTTTGCGTTTTGCTGGCCTTTTGACTTTTGCGATTTGCTGTCCGCAACTTTCCAAGATTGAAGATTGGAGAAGGGCTTTATTTATTCAACTTTCTTACTACCTTGTTAAAAAAATAAAATAAGAAAATAAAAACTAAATTTTTTTTTTTCCAAAGAGAACGTGTGTTTTGTTAAAAACAAAATAAAGATGTTGACTTTATTTTTAAAGAAAAAAAAATGACGTTTTTTTAATTATATAAAATTATTATTTAATTTTTAATAATGTGCTAAAGAAGTGAAACAAAATTTGAATAAATTGAAGGAAATATAAAAGCTAATATATTTTAAAAGGGTAAACTTGGAAAACAAAAACTAACTTGTGTGATGCATTAATGACATTGTTTTAAGTGTAAGGAAAATGACACTTGTCATGAGAAGAAGGGAGAAGGTCCAAAAGAGAAGGTTAGAGAGAAGGTTGCTAGCATTCCTCTTTATTCATAGCTCTAGATTTGGAAAAAAGCAACCAAGAATTGAGTAAGCCCACACAATTTTTTTATGATCTGTTTGGGAACAACAACGATTATAGATATTCTGGTTTTTCATGTGAAGAAGAGAAACAGCCATAGAAAACCACAGCGGCTATTCATAGAGGGGTAGAAGGACGACGATGGTTTAGGTTTGATAATGGCTGGTGGCTGGGCTATGCTGGAGAAGTTGGGTTGGGTTGGGATGGAGAAGGAGAGAGAGAGAGTTGGGTTTGGGGCTGGGCGACGGTGGAGGGATGGCTAAGAGGTGGGGTTGAGTCGGGAGGGAGAGAGGAGAATTTTTAAAAATAATAATAATGATTTTAATATGATTTAAAAATTATTTTTAATATGTACGTAATTTTTTATTAATTATTTGTCCACCTGTAAGTCTAACTCATTAAAAAATAGAACTTACATTCGCCACGTCATCATTTAACAGATTTACTAACGGTTTGGCTAACGGAGGGGGCAATTTGTAGGTTTTCCACGACGTTGAATATGTACTCATAAATATTTCCAAAATCGAATATGAACTCGTAAATGACCCTATAGGTTGGGGGGTTTGCATATGCTGTCTTCCTTTTCAAAATCGTTTAGTGGGTTCTTCAATATTGGTAGTTTTATCTCTTTCTTCTTATTTAATTCTAAATTTGAATTGTTATTATTAGATTTTTAAGGTTTGAGCGTTAAATTTTGGGAATTCTTAGAGCAACAAGAAAAGAGACAACAATATTTATATATGCAAGATTTCAATTGATAAATGTTCTATATATATATATATATATGTATGATTGTTAGTGTATAATATTTTTTTGTTAGGATATAATGTTACATGATGATAATAGATCGGCGAAGAGAGAAAAGACTATTCTTTTATTCTTTGGAAAAAAGTGGTAATGATAATGAGAATACATCTTCTGCATCTAATCTTGATATTAAGAATACACTTTTTACATATAATGCTGATACTTCAATTCAGTTTGACACTAGTTCTTTAGAACGAGATCCAAGGAAACGTATTCCAATTTGTGAACACCCCATTAATCAGTGTGATGAGATTTGAAGGGTTTATACCAAATTAGGGCCTTATCAACCTAAATTTTTTGAGTATCCAAAGACTTTTTTTGGGCAACAAAGACATCGATTTCAATATTCTTGGTTCTCACAATTTTCATGGTTAGAGTATTCTCCAATAACAGATAAGACATATTGTTTACCATGCTTTGTGTTTGAAAAGAATCCAGCAAATGAGTCTTCACTAATTACTGAAGGGTTCAATAATTGGAAAAGAGTGAATGATGGAAAGAAATGTGCATTTTTGCAACTTGTTAGAGGTCCATCTTCACCACATAACACTTGTGTAAGATGTGCTAAAGATTTAATGAAATCATCTCAACATATTGAAAAAGTTATTCATAAACAACCAAAAGAGCAAATTTGAAAGAATTGGTTACAGCTAAAGGCAACAATTGAGAGTGTTAGGTGGCTTACATTTCAAGTATGTGCTTTTAGAGGTCATGATGAATCCATAGACTCAATGAATCGAGGAAATTTCATTGAATTGATAAAATATATAGCGCATTGGAATGATAAAGTTGTTGAAGTTGTTTTAGAACATGCCCCGAGAAATGCTAAATATATCTCACCATTGATTCAAAAGGAGATTTTGCATATTCTCATTGACAAAGTGAGAACTAAAATTCGCAAGGAAGTTGGAGAATCAACTTATTGTATTCTTGTTGATGAAGCAAAAGATGCATCTAACAGAGAGCAAATGGCCATTGTTTTAAGATTTGTTGATAGAGATGGTTTTGTACAAGAACGTTTTTTTGAGATTGTGAGGGTTGAAGACATTAGTTCTTCAACACTTAAAAAAGAGATATCTCGAGTCCTAATTAATTGTGATTTCCAAATTGATAAAATGCGAGATCAAGGATATAATGGTGCTAGCAATATGCGAGGTGCATGGAATGGATTATAAGCATTATTTCTTAGAGATTGCTCTTATGCAAATTATGCACATTGTTTTGCTCACAAACTACAATTAACATTAGTTGCAGCAACCAGTGGCGGATCTATGATTTGAAATCCAACTGGGCAAAACTTACATTAAAAACTCGAGGTTATGAGTGAATCTCATTAATAAACATAAAAATATACACCTGGTAGGAGGACATAATGAGCCTTACCCTCAAATGCATCTCTATACATAAATACAAGTATAGCGGAAAAAAAAAAATATTCTTTTTCTTAAAAAAAAAAAATTCTAACAAATTCTTTATTTTCTTGGGGTTCAAATTGTGATAGGATTGTGATATGACATAACAAAAGAGAACCTATTTAATCCAACATCTCAACAAAGAATCGAATAAATCCTCATAATAGCATCAATGCCTTTAATCAAACGTTAACATACCAACAACAAATCAAAACATCTCAAAAATACCAATATCAAATCAAACATCTCAACAGAATTCCAAAAATCAAAGACCTAATTAATTTCAACAAAGTCAGCAAATTATAATTCATTCTTTAAGTAAACTCTAGAATAGATTAGAACACATAACTTCTAACCTATTTAGAATATATTAAATTCAATGTTGTCATACACAAAATCTTAAAATTTAAGGGTAGGAAATTAAAGAAAAGATAATTAAAGAGGAGATAATTAAAGAGAAGAGAAATTTTAGGTTATGCATACATATGGCTTACTTTTTGGGTGGGCATTGGTTTGTATGTTTCACATGGGTTTAGGGTGGGCATTGGTTTGTATGTTTCACATGGGTGGGCATTGGTTTGTATGTTTCACATGGGTTGGCCTATTCTATATGGGTATTTTTTATTTTTGAAAATTTTGGGGTAGGCAGTAGCCTACCTTGCCCTAGGTGTAGGACCGCCCCCGGCAGCAACAAAAGATGTGGCTCTTATTTGGCTATTCTTTTCAACCTTGAATTCCATTATCAATCTTATTACTGCTTCTCCTAAGCGCCATGGTGAGTTACAATTTACTCAAGCAACTGATATTGCACATATGCTGGATATTGGTGAACGTGACACAAGTAGAGGGGCTAATCAAATTGGTACCTTGCTTCAGCCTGAAGCTACTCGTTGGGGTTCTCATTATGATTCTGTTTCAGACTTGATATATATGTATAATGCATCTTGTTTAGTGGTTGAAACCTTAATTAAGGATGGAGCCACTAACTCTATACGCAAGGAAGTTACTAGTACTTTCAAAGTGATGACATCTTTTAAGTTCATATTTGTCTTGCATTTGTTGGATAAAATGATGGGAGTTACTAATGGCCTTTGCCGAGCATTACAAAATAAATTTCAAGATATCTTGACTACTATGAATTTAGTTTGTAGAACAAAAAATGTTCTTAAGAAATTAAGATTGGGTGGTTGGGATATTTTCTTGAGGAAGTGGAATCATTTTGCCAAAAACATGACATTGATATGCCAGATATGAACGCTCTTTAAAAAATTGGTACACATCGTTCTTGTCAACAACGTGATGATATTACAATTGAACATCACTACCAAGTTGATTTATTCAATGATACCATAGATTATCAATTGGAAGAGTTAAACACTAGATTCAGTGAAGGAACAATAGAAGTTCTTACTCTTAGCTCTGCTTTGGACCCTAGCAATGATTTTAAAGCATTTAAAATTAATGATATTTCCAAGCTTGCAGATAAATTTTTTCCAGGAGATTTCACTTCTAAAGACTTACATTTATTGAGGTATCAGCTAGAACTTTTTTTAGTCTGAAGTACATCTTGATATCTTTCAAAATATGTCTACTCTTTTGAACTATATCAATGATGAACTCAAACAAACAGAGCACAGACATATTATTTGATTGATAGGTTGATTCGTTTAGTGTTAACTCTTCCAGTTTCTAGGGCGACTACAGAACGAGCATTTTCAGCTATGAAATATATTAAAACTGTACTTCGCAACAAGATGGAGGATGAGTTGAGTATTGGACAGATTCCCTTATTGTCTACCTTGAGAAAGAACTTTCTATGGATATTGATTCAGATTCAATAATCACAGATTTTGAGAAACTCAAATAGCGTAGAGTTCTACTTCACTAGAATGTTTGGCAATATGTGTTTAATTTGATGTTTGACAATGTGTTTAATTTGATGTGTGACCATGTGTTTAATTTGATGTTTTACATATATTATGTACTTCTTTGTATTATATTTGTTCGGTATGTGAATGAACTTGATTGTTTTAAGAAAAATATGTAATATAACATATCTCCCATAAAATAAAAAATAAAAATTTAGCCCACCCTTACAAAAATTCCTGGTTTCGCCTAACACTAAACCAAACGACGTTGTGCCCAACCCTAATGCAAACAAAATTCCTGTGACTTTGCATCAATTTTTTTATTTTTTTAATGAATATGAGTGATATTGAGGGGTGATTGGAATATAAAACTTGGGTGCAATAGTAACTACTCTTAAACACTTGAACCGCAAGCCTTATGACATGTGACTTTGCATCATTAACTAAAAAATAATAGACGAAAAAACTAAACAATTATGGGCTTTGGGCGAGAGAAAACCAATCCCAGCGAATAAGAATGCCAAAACCAGGCCCAAATGAACAGACCAGAAAGTGTTTGTTCATCAACAAACATTAAACGGACCAGTGAAAAAAAGGGAGTTTCACTAAAACACCCAAAATGGGGGTCGAAATTATAAAAAAACCCAAGCACTATTTAAACATATAAACATATCCAAAACCCATCATTACACACACTCAAAACCCATTTATAAACACACCAAAAAAGTTGACTTTGAGGTTGATTTTGGGTGTGTTTCTATGTTTAAATAGTGTTTGGGTTTTTTATAAATACATGTCTACGATTTTGTTTATTTATAAATTCGTATAAAAAAAAAAAATCGATAAGAAATGGAGGTCAGCACCAGCGGCATTCACACGAAATGAAATGCAGCGTCTGAAATTGATACCCATGCTTTCTCCAACGTTACAACGCTCCGTGTGCTCCCATGTCCCTTTCTTATTCTGCCTCAAAATCAACTCCTTTACTTCTTCTTCTTCTTCTTCTTCTTCTTCCTTGCAATGTTCACCTTGGACTGGTCTGCAAACCTGGAGAGAGTCCCCACTCAATGAGAATCGTTGCTGGGGACCCAAAGGCCCAAAACCTCAGCCGCTACAGTCACAGCCGTCTTCTCTTAACAGCGATGACAGTCCAATGGTGTCATCAGCTTCCTCCCTTGCAGAGCTTGGTGCTCTGGTTCTCTCCACAAGTGACCCTCTCGCCAAATCCAAGCTTTCCCATCTTGCTTTTTCCAGGTGGCGCCTAGAGAACCTTCCAATGGGCTGGTGTGAACCCCCTGCTCGACCCGCTCGCCCTCTCAAACCTCAACTGGTTTGTTTCTCTGTTCCTTAAAAATACAATTTTTTTTAAATAATTTATAAATAATGATAAAGCCTTGTACTTGTTGCCTTTGAGGGTATTTTTAATATTCCCTTGAATTGGGTATTGCATATTTTCTCATGGAAATTTCCTGTTTCCAGTGTTTTAATTTATATTAATTTTTTCTGAACAAACTATAAAGATGTATACAATGCTTATGCACATCTGTGGGCACTCATTTTTGCCATGTACTATGTGAATTCAGGTTTCCCCGAAAGAAATTCCAGCTCCCAAGAACTCGGGTTTGCCTCTTAATGCTTATATGCTTCATAATCTTGCTCATGTTGAGCTCAATGCGATTGACTTGGCTTGGGATACTGTTGTTCGTTTTTCACCTTTTAGTGAGACTCTAGGGGAGGGATTTTTTGCTGACTTTGCTCATGTCGCTGACGATGAGAGTCGCCATTTTGCTTGGTGTTCTCAGAGACTTGCTGAACTTGGTTTCAAGTGAGGAGAGTAGTTACTTTGGGTACATAATTGGTTGTTGTTTCTTAGGTTGACTTGTAACTTTGCTTTTGTGACAAGTTATGGAGACATGCCTGCTCATAATCTGCTTTGGAGGGAGTGTGAGAAATCATCTGAAAATGTTGCTGCACGTTTGGCAGTGATCCCTCTAGTCCAGGTAATATCCATAATCCCTATGTTATCTCTAATATTTAAAAAACAACATTTTTCTCAGCCAATAGATCAGACATAAACAAGCTGAGATGCATGTCATTGCATCTTAGGTATCCATCTATAATGTAACAGTTGAGAAAAATGTCCTTATTAAAACTTCTTGAAGAAAAAATGTGTTGTTTTTTCCATGCGATAACAATCTGTGACATCCCTCAATACCAATGTTTTGTATTGGCTATTGTCTGGTGATTGGCAACATCTTCACATGTGTGCAATGTATATGTAATCAGTTTCTCTTGCTTTGTTGTGTAACATGTTGTTATCTTTTCAGACTATCAATCAGGATAGTTTAATTGGTTAAGTTGTGTCCGAATCTGCAGTCTTGATTTGCTAGACATTCTGGAATGAGATCATCCTATATATATATATATATATATATATATATGTACGTAGTATTTGAAAACTTTTATTTGAATGTATTTATCGATAATATTCACATGTTTTATGTATAATTTCTCTCAAAATTATCATGTCCTCCAAATAAAGAGAGCTTTATGACCTTTGTATATATTTGTATGGAATGTTGAGGGAGTGTAAGCCTATACGGTTGATACTACATGGGATCAAGTTGTAAAAGTTCGTGGTTTTTAGAACAATGGCTGCTCCAAAAATTGAAAATAAATAAATTGGAATAATGAATTTTTTGAATCTGTAGAACTTTTGTCAACTTGTGGTGAGGTCTGGAGGATTGTTGAGCTAAATTATAGGAAGAAAGCATGAGAAGCCTAGATTAGTGCTGTAACAGTTGACTGATTTACTATATAAACTCTTCTGCTTCTTGTTCTACCTTTAGCTATGATGACCAAATTTTGGATTTCTAGTGATGCATATTGGACACAAAAACAAATGATTTTGCGATAATGTTTGATGTCGCATAAATGTGTTGCATCTACTTGCCTTTACTGCAGGCAGGATTGGCATTGTCTTGAACTCTTAGTTTTCCTTCAATTAATTTACCTGACATGTACTTCTTGAGGCTATTTTTTAACATTGATAACTCGTTAAGAGTGATGGGCATTTGCTTCTTTAAAAGCTAAGATTTGGTGCTGTTTATAATACCAAGAAAAATTGGAGATGGTTGATTGATTGCAAGATAATTTCCTCATCAGTCACTCCATGAACATCTGGATATATAGTTAATTTGAGGATGGATGACTTAAGAAACATTAGTTTTTCCCCCCAACATTTTGGCATGTTGTTATTAACCAATTTAAGGGCAGACTCCTTGGTAAGAAAGGGAAGAAAAGAATGCACACGTGTACACATGTGTTCTCCACACACATTAAAAAAAGGACGAAGAGAAAGCAAGAAAGAAAAGAAAAGAGAAGAAAAGAATTTAATCTTTGTTTCGTCCAGATTTATTCTCTTTAGCTTATATTTGATGAGTTGTAATCCTTGGTTTTAGGAAGCTCGAGGACTAGATGCTGGACCACGACTTGTGCAAAAATTGGTTGGCTTTGGAGATCTCAGGACATCAGACATTGTAGCTAGAATTGCTGATGAAGAAGTTGCACATGTGGCTGTTGGAGTCCATTGGTTTGTTGATGTCTGTCAGAAAATGGATTGTACCCCATCTTCTGCATTTAAAGGTTTGGCTGTCCCTTCATATTTCCTGTGTATATATTCTCATCTATAGTCCTACTACATTCTTAGAGCAAGGTTGATCATTATACGGATTTTTTACAATAACCATGCAGACTTGTTAAAAGAGTATAATGTGGAGTTGAGAGGGCCCTTCAATTATTCAGCTCGTGATGAGGCTGGCATTCCTCGTGATTGGTGAGCAAATTGTATTTCTTGGCAGTTCTTTGGATTGGTATTAATTAGGATGAGTTTTTGTACAAAATGTCACTATTAATATCAAGTTCAACTTTGTTTTATCTTTTTGAAAAATGACTTAAATTCTCGTTCTAGTCTGCATGTGTAAAAATGTATGTTCATGGAATCATAACAATTTGCTTCATCTCCTCTACAGGTATGACTTACCTACAAATGACCAGGATAAGAATAAGAAAAAGGATAAAACCAAGAAGCTTACGGAGGTATGTGATCCTGGCATTACATGCTCCGTGAAACTAATTTCAGAACTTTGTTATTTATCTTTTATCCTTTGGCAAATGGATACTCTTAACATCTCAACTGTTATTATTCAGGTTTATGATAGGCTTGCTTCCATAATTTCCATGGAGAGTGAGAACTCAAGTTTGAACAGGCCTTAGTTGTTTTGCTTCAGCAAATGTTTTTGTCTCCTAGCAATTGGTATGAAGCATATCCTCGTATATGGTTGCACACTTTCTTTCTTTCTTGTGTGTTCGCAAGAAGCATTACAACTCAGTTACCTATCTTGCTGATTTTTCTTCAGGGCACCACCTAATTTGGCATGTTTAGAGGAGAGAGAAAGCGCCATCATACTAGACCTAGAAAAGTGCACATACATTTTGAGTTATTATCTTTACCCTCTTCTTCAATTTCTTTCTTTTTCTGCTCAACAGAAAAATTCAAGTAGAAAAGCTGTTGTCAAATTCTTGTAAGCTTCACAGTTGTTTTTTTTATTATTTGTTAAGATGCTTCACCATTATAGTTTTTTCTTGTAAATTTTGTACATGCATTTGTTATATGTACGATTATAGAAGTTTTCTCTCCTCTTTTCTGACATCCAAGCTGTATAAACCTTTTCTAGTGAGCGGTTAAAATGCGGTGGGAATGCATAGTATATAGCACATGGCTCACATGGCCATAGGAGATGCTATTATTGCCTTATCTTCGCTTTATTTTTGCCTTGTTTGCAAATATTGCAATCACCTCTCGCATCACCACCTACACGCGTAGGCGACTTCTGTTCCCAAACTAGCTTTGCACATCTGTTCTTCATTTAATACGACACGCCAAGGAATCATGGGCTCACCGCCACACTAGCTTTGTTGACAAAACATCTCATGCAAGTCTTTTTCTTTGGCTCCACATGGAAATGTCTATTTGAGAATATGAAAAAAGAATTAAAAAAAGGTCATATAGACAACTATTTAACTACAACCTACTTTTCTAGGTGGCAGCCCATATGGACATCTTTCAGTTCACGTGGCACATCTTCATTGCTGTGAAATGATTTGCTCCCACGTCAATATACTATGAGCCACAGTAACACGCGGATTCTCTCGCTTTTGATGATTGTAGTAGGGATAAGGCGCAGTCCCCCCCCATTTTCCATTTGGTTCCCTTGTATTGTCGAAGTTCGCATTATTAACTTTATATATCGAAGAAGACGGGATGTAAGTTAGTGGAAATAGACATTAACTTTTAAATTAGTGGTTTTAAATTTAAATTTCATAGCACTTTGATAGGGATGACAATATAACGATTTGAGGCTGAATATGACAATACCATCATCATCTCAGCTTTCCATATGTGCCCCCGTGCCCCATTCCCAATAATAATTTTCGGGGAATCCTCCTCCCCGTCCTGTCGAGAGGCTCTCTCTCAAACCTGGCCCGAATTCTAGATATTTTTTTCTTAAAAAAATATTTATCCTACAGTTGGGTTTTTTTTCCCCATAATTAATGTCTTGCACATATAAGAAAATGTTGTAATTTAATCTGGGTAGCCAACATTATGATGAAAAAAATTATGTTTTGTCTTCAAGCTTTAGTCTGAAGGTTTGGATTCTCAAGGCATATCATATGAATGAATTATGAAATTTAGTAGCTATTTTTATTGTCTTATTCATCCCGTCTTGCAATTTTTAGTTGTGTCATTTTGGTACCGAAATAGTACCGATACTGATTTGGCACTGTACGGTACGGTACTGACTTTGACAAACGATAATCTCATATCGTACTGTACCGGTTTTAATTTCTAGTATCGGTAGCAGTATGAGCTCAATACCGTACCATGTCCACCATTACTTAGTAATGTGTGTGTGAAAAACCCTTCATCCCCTTATAGTTTAGACTATTACTTGTATTAAAAAGAAAAAAACTTCATATCTTGTTACAAAATATGGGTGGAGAATTTAAAAAAAAAAACATAATAATAGTCACTCTTTTTATTATTTTTTTTTAAAAGAAGTTGAAAAATACGTGGTTTAGAAAGTAAAACTTTATTCCGAAAGTATTATTTCGGTACCAAAAGAAAAGGTAAAAGATTCGATGCTTAAAATTTGTTTTTATGATTTCTCTCAGTAGAAAAAAAAAATATTTAAATATTTTTTAATTGAAAACCAATACAGATTTTTTGTAATCATGTATATCCCACTGGTTGCGTTGCGTTGGTAAAGAAAATAGAAAAGCACAAGAAACTTCCAACAATACAACACACAACGTGTGCCGTCTCCCATTACTAAACAAGTCTCTCTCCATTCTCTTCTCTCTAACTCTCAAACAGTTACTGCGGAAGAACCAAAATCCCAGAAAAAAAGAAGAAGAAAGAAAGCGAGAGAAAATGTGCTCTTCAGAAGGTGATTGCAGGCCTCTGGGCTTTCTGCTCGGCCTTCCTTTTGCTCTCCTCTCCCTCGTCCTCTCCATCGTCGGCATCGTTATCTGGATCGTCGGGTACAATTCCTTCTGCCTTTCTCAATTCAATTGATTTTCAGGCATATGGGTCATCTGGGCAATCTCTAGTTTTCTTGAGTCTTAACTTGTTATGCAGTTTCATTCAATTTGATCATATGGGTTTTTGAAATTATGCGATTTTTATGCAATCTGATATTTCGTAGTGCCTGGAGCTTGTTGATTTTGAAGTTGGGGTCTGATTGGTTTTTTTGGTTTTTATTTTTGGGTGGGGGTAATTTTTTATTATATTTTTGTGTGTAGGTTGTTGCTGACTTGCATATGCCCGTGCTGTTTGTGCGTGACGGTGGTCGTGGAGTTGGCTCTGGAGTTGGTCAAAGCCCCAATTCATGTGATGGAGTGGTTCACTTCTCAAATCCCCTGCTAATCACATCTCATTCAGATTGTTTAAATTTATTTTTATTGTTTTTTATTTTTATTTTTAGTTTAGTTTTATCACTGAGTTTGGTGTTTTATATTCATCATACACTGTGTTTACTGTGTACTGTTTATGTATTCCATGGAGGTGAATATGTAGAATTCTATGTGAATTTGAGTGAAAAAAACCCCATCAAAATCCCAAAGCAACTCATCAAAACCCATAAAAATCAGAGTAAAAAAAAACTGATCATCACCATTCTGAAACTGAACCATTCTACTCAAAACAGCAATTCAATTCACATTATATTACAGTAACATTCAATCCCTTATTCAAAAATCAACAAGTAACCGGCTTGATATCAGTGAAGGGAGAATATAAGGATGGCTTTGGTGAGGCTCTAGCTGTTATCTGCCTTTGGGTGGAGGTGCGTGAATTGAGTGGGGTAGCTAGCTGTGTGTAGGGGAGGTGGGTGGCTGCGGGATTGGTGGGCGTACATTTTTACGGCACATCCACACCTCCGAGGGGATCAAAACCAGCTCTTCCATGGGGATTTTCCAATTTTCAGATACCCCTTTACCCCAAGGAATTCGCCGCTGGTCATGCGCTTGCAGCTGGCTTTGGGTGGCTGCTGTGAGTTGTTTGTTTTAAGACAAATGCCGTAGAGGTAGCGGTGCCTTTGCGTCTGCCTGCTCTGCCCCTGTTTCTTAAACCATGGCTGCTGGTTTCATGTTTGCCCTTGTTCTATAATTTGGTCAAACTAATATAATGTGCATAAGAATTCCTTTTATGATTAAACGAAACTCATTTGTGGTAACCAAATTAAGTCAAAACCCTAGGTCAAATAATTCATTCCATTTGGGGATTATTTGACCTAATTGGGAATTAATCAACCTAATTGGGAGTTACTCAATTTAATTGGGGGTTACCCAATTAAATTGAAGACTACCTAATTGGGTTGAGAATTGATTCCTAATTCCTACCCCGATTCTCAATTAAATGAGGAATTACCTAATCGAAATAGGATTTGATTTGATACCTACCACAATTAGGGATTTGATTTACCCTAATAAATCAAATCCCTAATTAATCAAATCAATTCCATAAAGGGGAGGAATAATTCTCTTCCATCTACGGAATTATTCCTCTGAAACCCTAGCCTCCGAGACCATTATAAAAGCATAGCCACACACAATGGTGGAGGTACGTCTAAATTCCTACTGAAACTCTGCAGAAATCATTTCTCACAAACCCTAGCCACCACTTTCTTTCTCTCCCTTACACAAGGCTCCGGCCACCACACACGGCTCCGGCCACCCGGTTTTCCTTGAAATACCTTACCTAACTTAGGCATCGGAGGGCCTTTGGCCAACACCCCCCGGGTGTGGTCCTTTTACTCCGATCTGTTTTGCAGGGAGAAAGAGAAGCGGAGAAGACGAA